TGCCAGATTCATCTGCATGAACCAGTCAACCGGATTGTTTGTTCCCTTAGGTTAGGACTAATTGCCATTGGTACCTCCTTAGCTCAAACAATTATGGATTTGAGCTGTCTTGGATGGTTGTATGCTGCTATGTCATGCATTCAACCGGTCTATTTAAACAGTTAATAACAACAAATATGTATATGCGTAGAGAAATAAACAAATACTTGCATTCAAACACAATTAAAATTAACTCAATTCGATCTTACAATACACTTTGGAGTTTTACCAAATTAATTAACTGGGAAAAAAAAAAGTGCATACCCACTCATGATGAACTCTAGCCCAAGATTTCTTTTTGATTAAGTGGAATGAGGAAGAAGGAAAGTGCAGAAAAGTTGCAAACGTTGCAACGTGATGATCTCTGTTTGTTGCCGGCCGCTTTCTTTTATAGCTAAAAGAATTAGGGTTTCCTTTTAGGATTCTTCCCAATGATTTCGACACTTAACTTGCTTCCCAAAATAATTCTCCCCTTGATTTTTGGTTGCCTATTCTAGTTGCGGCGGGATTCTCTCTTTTGAATCTTAGGAGCACACCTTTTTCAAATTAGCAGTTGTATATGTTCTAAGCCTTGACCGAGGCTTTGTCGAGTGTGAATCGGGCCTGCCTCCTACTGCTTTGGTGTTAGCTGTGCCCAAGGGTAGGTTATGCTTCCTCCTTTTGTTAAGTCGTAAACCTTGGCCGAGGCTTACTTGAGCGGGTTTGCAAGTTGTAATTCCGCTGATGCCTTATTCTTGGCTGAGGCACGAGTGAAAGGGAACTCGGGTCTGCTGCTTCTTGATGGTCCTAAGCCTTGGGCAAGGCTTATTCTTGGTCTGACAGTTTCTCTATAAATTCAGTCCCTCTTCAAACTGCTTTCCTTGATTTTGCTCTCATCTTTTGTCCTACATCAAAATGAATAGAATAACTTAAATCAAATAGCAATTATTCCAATTAAGCACCTAAAAATGGACAATGAAGATGATGTTTTTACGCACTATCAAACTCCTCCATACTTATTTTGTGTTTGCCCACAAGCACTTCATAATGCAAACCATGAATTTCCTACCCTTCACTTCTAACCCAACCATTCTCATCAATTCTATCACAATTCGATCCGTTCCATTTCGACTTTTCAAATTGGAAGAACAACCATCAAACTAGGGATTCATAGAATAGATTTTCATACAACCATACAAGTGAACAATCATTTAACCAATATCCAAACACAACATAAAAGTTTTACAAAATTTTTAGCACTAAAGTTTTTCATTGAGAAAAACAGCCAATACCCAAATATAACAGCCACTAAACCTATCGAGAAATAAGGATTTCATGCAATTGGTTCATGCTAAAAACAGTAAATTTATTTGTCTAAATTTGATCACTTTGCTTGCTTAGATTATTACCAACCTTTTAACACGATGGCAAAAATTTGTGATGAATTCACCCGGTTACTCAGCTGGTGATAGATTCAAATGGCTACTAGTGTTACTCGTGGCATTCGGTTTGAATTATCACCAATCTTTTGACATGATGGAAAAGATTTGTGATAAATGTACTCAGTTACTCGGTCACAAATTCTGGTGACTAAAGAAGTAGATTATTTGTGCTCTCTTTTCTTTCTCTCTGATTTTATTTTTTAAACACGAACCGTATGATGCTAGACATACAAATCCAGACAGGTTGTAGTGGGAACTCGAGTCTGCTGCTTCTTGCTGGTCCTAAGTCTTGGGCAAGACTTATTCTTGGTCTGACAGCTTCTCCATGAATTCTGTCCCTCTTCATATTGCTTTCCCTTATTTTGCTCCCATCTTCTGTGTTGCATCAAAATGAATGGGATAACTTAAATCAGATAGCAATTATTCCAATTAAGCACCTAAAAATGAAGATGATATTTTTACGCACTATCAGCCATATGGAAAGAATAGTCCAAGCCTTTCAAATGCTTTCTATCCTTTATACACGTTATCCAAACAGATTGTTGGAGGCACTATAAATTGTAAATCCCATTGTCACAGCTCTGTGACTGAATCGAAAATAAAATCTCATAATTTTTTGGATAGTAAAAATCAGGTGAAGCTTTTCGTAGTTTCTTTTTTGAGAGAAAAGATAAATAGAATGTATTGAAGGGGACAAAAGGGTGCAACCCATGTATAAAGATAGAGCCAAGCCCAAGGAAAGCAAAATTGCAAGGAAGACTCGTAGAAGACATCGGGAAGCAAAGTTGCAGAAAACTAGTAGAAGGCACTAATAAGATCATGAAGGTCTTTCCAAAAGAAGGGGATGACCATTAAACCTAATGTTGGAACCATTTAGCACTAAGACCAAAAAAATTGGAAGAAGGCCCTTTAAGGACTCACAATTCTTCTCTTACCAAATAGTCTAAAGAATGGCATGAAGAATAAGTGCGACAAGTTTCTTAATCTGGTGGCTGCAAATACCATCCCAGGAAAACAACTCAATCTTTAATGGACCTGCTCATCACCAAATGACACCAAAAAAATTAATAGCCAAGTTCCGTGACCTTGTCCTGTCAGGACACATAAAAGGAGATTGTTAGGGGATTCATTGTCTCTTACGCACAACAGGCATTGATCAGAAATTATACAACCTCTATTTTCGAGATTGTCCATTGTGAGACAATGGCCAAGTAGGCTCCCCAGGCAAAATAAGCTGCATTGGGGGAAGCTTTGCATTTCCATATATACATCTAAAGGAAATTGCTTGCCGCTATTTCAAAAAATAAAAGTTGCTTGTGGCATGTTTCCTCTTCAAAAAAGAGTATAACATGACTTCACAGAGAAAAAATTTTAATTAAAAATTACAGCTTTTCTCACTACAATAATTCCTCCTTTCTCTTCTACATTTTCAAACTTTCCTCTCCCTAAATCTGCTCTCATCTTCTCCTAAAATCCTTTTTAATTTTACTGTAACTCTTCTTCTCCTTAATTTATTCACAAATCAGACCAGGTTCCTGACAAAATGGTATCAGAGCCGTTCGGACCTCGATGATTATGATTCCTTCTTCTGCATCTTCCTTCTCTTTACTCTTCTTTCCTCTCCAATTTCTCTTCCCTGTTTTTCTGTTTTAATATATTTCAATAAAAAATTAAAAGAAAAAATGAACATAAGAATAAACTTCCAAAATGATTGGTAGACAAAATTTCAATTAGAATGGGAAGAGTGCGAATGCCAGCAGGAGCACATAATCGAGGAAGAGGATGCTGCAACTAAGCTGCAGTTCTTTTCCTCCATCTACACCAGCTTCATTATTTGTGAATTTTAGATGCTGGTCAGAGCTTCAATTCGATCAGGAAGCGGCTCCAGAAAAGAGTGAACATATGCTGGCCCACAAGATCGAGGAGATGAAGATGAAGGCAGAACGAGTTCTTATTGTTTTCCTTCATTGGCATCAGTTTCTCCGGTCGTGAGTTCTTATCAGTGTGACAAAAACTGAATGAAGTGCGAGCAATATTGTCGGCAGCACTTCTTCTCCTACCACGTGGAAGAATTGTCCATCATCTTTAACTTTCCCACCCGAACTTCCCACTGAAATTGTCTTCTTTGTTGATGATGAGATAATAGTGAAGAATATAGAATCTATAATGGTTGAGAAGCTGGTCGAATTTGTAGAGAAGCCAAAGTATGTTAAAAATTTTGGAAATAAAGGTGGATTGATGGATGAGCATGAGGTGCTTGTTAAAATACTCAACCGCATGAACTGTCGAGGAATGGAACATTCGATGAAATTAATTATCAGCATTAAACAGTCCAAAGCAGGGTGTCACCACAAGACCTCATGAGAAAAATTGAGTTCGAAGCTTCAATTAAAATCCAAACTGTAATTGTATATGGTGACTGTCCTTCTAAAATTCAGTTAGGGGTGAGCTTCAATAATAATAGAAGTTGGTTGAAGGATGTTTGAGTATATATCAAATATCACATTTGTAAATCAGTACTGTTCTAACTTGGTAACCAGGTCTAAAGAAAATGGGCATATTAGAATGTTGGTGAATCAGCTTCAGGTCACATGAATCCTTGAGGGCAAGGATTATTTACATGGAGGGAGTACTGTCAGAACCAGGTGAAATGTGTAGCTGAGGTGGACTAGGTGACATGTATGGCTGAGGTGTCATTGATGGATTAGTTGTCTCTTCTGTTCCTACCATTATAGCAGAAGGAAATAAATAGGCAGAGTGGGAAGTGGTTAGGCAGAGAAAAAATGTTAATTAAAGATTACAGCTTTTTTCTCTACAACAATTTCTCCTTTTTTTTCTGCATTTTCAGCCTTTCTTCTCGCAAAATTTCTCTCATCTTCTCCTAAAATCTTTTCTAGTTCTGCTGTAACTCTTCTTCCTCCTTAATTTCTTCACAAGTCAGAGTTCCTGGCAACTTGCTTTGGAATCTAATTTTGAGCTAGCATGATAACAATGTGATCATTAAACATACATGCAAAAACTGTTAGTACAAATCAAATGTAGCTGATGTAATTCAAATTACAACAGAGTTTCTGTGGTAGTAAACACTGTAATGTGACTGGACAAACTGCGAGGGAAGGCCGAGAGTCCTTGTTTTGTTAAATCTTGTTTGCAGCTGCAGGTAAAACAGAAGCAGAGGCGGAGTCCGAGCTGGGAAAGAGTACCACATACGAGGGGACTGGAACATAGCAGTTGGAAGTGGCGGGAGAGAGCAACTTCTTGTTTTAAATAGAACATGTGTCTTCACTTGATGAATAAAATTAACGTGTAGTAAAAATGTTATTTGGTTTATACATATCTCTAACAAGGGCATGCTATGATCAGGGCTTTTGTCACACTAAGTACCAACGATGATAATAAACCGGTCATGTATTGCCAAAAATCTTGGCATTGATATCTATGTTTTATATTATTTTACTGTTATTTTTCACGAGCAGGGAGAATTATTGAAGAAATCTCTCTGATTTATTTGTTCAGGTTTGCTTTGATTTTGATACTGAGTGGGAAGAAATTTCTTTTGCTTTTACAATTTTCAGCTTCATTCCTCTGGGGTTTTGGCTATTGGAAGTAGTATCAAAGGAGAGAATTCTTACTCACATCACTTGGACTCTGATGTAAGAGGGTATTTGGTATTATCTTATATTTCACATACTTGGCTGTTATGTGGAGGCAAAATAATCACTTTGTATCTAATAGAAGCCTTTAGAATGTGAGAATAGATAGATATTCTTTCTTGATTCTTATCTTGTTTAAATTCTTTACTTACTCAGGTTGGTGTCTCTGTCGTAGATCGTTTTACTTTTTACACCCTGGCATTCTTTGAGAGGCTAAATATGTATAACAATGATTCATTGAGCAGGTATGCTAAATAGGAAATTATTTCTTGCATAATTGTTAGTGAGAGCATGATTTGCATAAGTTGGATACTATTTTTGTGGCCTTCAATTTTTTTTCAAATTACATATTCCTTTTATTTTGCTTTATGGTCTTTACATTCCATCTAGGAATATATTGAAGGAATATAACATTTTATATATTCCTTTTATTGCTGTAATATTGTCTTTCAGCACTTCACTTTTTGTTATAGCTTTGCCTTTTCTAACTCAGATTTTAAAGGGAACAAGGTGATCTTTTATTGTCCCCTTCCTAGCAAGAAAGGAATGGAGAGATGCTTGATTATATGCTGGATCATGATTGCCATAGTAGATGTATATCTGCAAAGAAGTCTGCTAGCTGTTATTGGCAGGGAAATGGTATTCCCAGTGCTCTAAGTAGTTCAAAAAATGTTGTTGCCTGGTGCTTAATATACTCAACCATTGTAGTTTTTTTGAAAGGAAAATGAAGGTCTTCTTTTTTTACTGGAAAAGAAGTGGTATTATAAAGAGATAAGAGAATATAAGAGAAGAAGGATTTAATATCCTCCCAAAAGAAAAAGAAAAATAGAAGAAAAAGGAGAAAAGCAACTAATCTTGCTAAAGAATAGCTAGATAATCATTATAGTTGACAAACAACTTAGAAATATAAATCCTTTGAAGTGCCAGGGAAGCCGAGAAAGATATCCAAATAATAGAAAAAGCTGAAATGTGATCCTTAAAATTCTAGCATTTCTCTCCAAACGTAATGCCCATGGTCCAGCAAAAAAATCCTCATACCAGCTAGAGAACTTAGTTTTGCTACTTCTTCATATACATACCCAGCAGAACAGCAAAAAGAAAATCATGAATT